CTTCAACAAGCTGAAAAAGTGAAAGTTAATAGATATTTTTAAGTGGAGAAGAAATTTGCATTGGAGGCTTTTTATCCTCCAGCTGTCTATCCGCTGCCTAATGGCTAATACTAAGTTTACTTTCAGCCAGATGTAGCGACATTTAGATGGTTCTGGTCAGTCTGTCATGAGTTTGTCAAATTTCATGGACTTACAGGACTGAGGTTGAGAGTCTCTGTATATAGGGAAGCAGAAACTTGATAATACACTTTGAGAAATTTTAATGTGCTTTAAAAATAAAGTTGGAATGGATAAACTTCTTAAAATATTGGACATTATTTTTCCCATCGTGGGATCCCCCGTGTTTTTTATTTTGCTATCAATATCAACAATTAATTTTGTTTGTTAGCTTGTATTACTTTTTATACCTTTTATCGAATTACCGTGTAGTTTTTTATGTATTTATTTTTGACATTAATTGTATTTCTTTTTCATTTATTAAAAGATGTGTGTTGTTTAGTCATTTGAACCTTGATTGTAAACTCTTGTTGATTTTAGACAAACAAATCTTGCTTTGTTCAGGGACGACAAATGAAAAAAAGCCTTGGGGCTAATGCTGGCACATTTACATGGTAATTAATCTGCATTGTCCCTAACAAATAAATAAATGCAATCCCATCAGGAAATCTGTTTTCTTGGGCGTTATTCAATTCACCTATATTTCTACTACATTTATATTACTATATAAAAGGCAGACATGTTAAAAAACAATAGTTAATAAATAATTGATAACTGTTGGATAATGATTTTTAAACTTGTAATTTAATGAGCAGTAATTACATCATAAAATAATCATACATTTTGACGAAATTGTCAGTAAGTATGATTAATTCAGAGCTCCTCAAGTAGCATTTATCAGCATTGAAAGTACAAATATTATACATTGTTTGGTCATTAACAATACATTCAAAATGTGCAATAACAGTTTGTGAAGATAAATCAATGATAATATGGAGGTCGCTAATGTTGAACTAACGCTGAGGGCTTCAGAATAACCTCAGATTTTTATTCTGCTTTTTGCTGTTATTGATAAATAGCATTTTAAACATTAATAAATAAGCACTTTTTTTATAGGCTTACATCTCTAATTTACACCTTAGAAGTATTATTTCCATTTTCATATAATGAGCAGGAAAATTTATTAAATGAGTCCTACATTCATTATTTGGTCTTTTTAAACATCTTCAATATTAAATTTTTAGGATAATTTAGAAATTCTTTGTTTTTGTAAAAAAAAAACTTCCTAAGAGGGAAAACAATCTTATCAACACAGCGAGAAATTTCTAGAAATGTTAAGATACTAAACTGTGGGGCAGTGTCAGCGTCTGGTAATTTTTACATTTATTTTTAGGATATATGAAATATATAAATAGCATCACATTAATTATAACAGACACAAGCCTTTTGTGTTTTACAGGGTTCAAGAGAGCGGTGTCAAGAAGTACTTTATCTACAAGCAGTTGGGAATTGCATTATTCAGAGAACAGAGCAGGATATGCGTAATTTAGTTTTGGGTTACTGTGGGCAAAGACACATGATCAGTGTTGGCAGCTGATGGGACAAAGGAGCGGATTTCACCTCTAAGTATTGGGTCACACAGGTGAATAAAAGGGACTAGCAGGAGACAAAATGTTGTAATCTTACAAGCAGACTAAAGCTCTTGTTTTGTGAACTCAAGTACCTACAGGTAGCAATAGAAAGCGCAACAACCTGAGGTCTAAGCCAGTTACCAAAAACTAATATATATAACAGAAAAAAAGCTTTATTTCCATAAAATTTTCATTATCCTTTTTTTTCTGATAAAAGTTTTTGAGCTTACATATGAATTAAGGGAAAAAAAGAAGCAGCAGGTGTTATCATCTTGGATGTTTCACAATCAGCCCAACCTTCAAACCTTGAACAGGCAGATAAACTCTAATATGTTTGATCCCCATTTTATTCAATAGACTAACACATTGGAGTGAAACTAAAAAAAAGTTGAATCATGCAGAAGGTTACATGAAAAACATTTTTTTTTACTAATATAAGTTGATGTGTGTCCAGGGAGCCCAAATCTCTAAACACAGCGGCTTTGTCCATCCACACACCAAAAGATTGTCTTCATCTTCTATAAAAAATCACATAAACTCAGATTGACTGGAAACTACAGGTTTGAAATTTTACAGAAGATTCTCAATATGACCAGAATTTCAATGGTTCATTCTTGCATGTTCTATTATGAAAATATTATTGACTATTACAATGAATCCCCTTAGATTAGTCCAGTTTTTCCTTGCTCTTCCAATCCCTTTAACTTGTTTTAACGTTCACATGATTCTTGGTGAGTTTTAGCATCTGAGTCACCAAAACCTAGAGTTAAATGTTCACATAACATCACTTTGTATATTTCTAGGCTAGTGGGTTCTTGGTATTTAGCATAACACCACATGACCAGAGGTAAGACACTATGAAAGTTCACCATGAGTAAACTAGGATGTAATGGAGCTAAGCAAGTTAGTATTAGTGCAGCAGAGAAATGAGGACGGAGCAAAAGTCCAAGATCAAGTGTGAAAAGTGCAAAAGAAAATATTAGATGCCAAGAAGTATAAAATCCCAACTAGGTCATAAAACAATATGAATGTTGGTGTTTTGCTAAAGGAGGAGCTAAAGCTTCAGAGTGTTAATAGATGAGTAACTAAGTACAGCCAGCAGATGGCGTAGTTTTTATCAGGTGATGGCACCCGCTGCAAAAATTATTTTCAAGCTGAAAAAGGACCAAGTATCACTTGGTGTACGTTGCTTTATTTGAACACAAAGTGTTTTTGCTGTTTTTTTTTTTATATATATATATATATATAGTCATAGCATATGACAGGGCCCAAAGTTCAACTATTTAGTGTGCAGGCTGAGTGTTAACGCATGTCAATTAAAAGATAATTAGATACTAACCGCTTCCAACATGTTTCTTTTTCAGATTTGTTTTATTGGGTACTCTACTCAAAAAGTCCACTTCTGCAAACATGGACTTCTTTGTGCAACATTTGTTTTCTTCTTACAGCTCTTCAATAAAAGCCATATTTGATGAAGTTAAAAACAATCGTGGTCCTCTTAGGAGATTCTACCACCTCAACTGTGGAGCTAAATGCGAACCAAAGATACGTGCTTCAGATGTTTCCATCTTAGGAGGGACTGATTTGTCTCTAAATGCTTTAATTGAGGGATGATTTATTATTATTATTATTATTTTGTGGTTAAAATCATGAAACTGAATCCTCTTGAAAATGATTCTTGATCTCAACAGCATTCTCCTACTAAAATAAAAGTTAATAAAAAAGTAAAAAGGCTGTCATGTAGGATGTTCTACTGTGTGTTTTTCTGTGACTAGACTTGAAAACAGGGGGAAAATAATTATCTCCATAATGGTAAAACAAAGAGGGCCTTAAAGCCTAATTCAAACCCTGTTGGAAGGATATTTGCCAAAAAAAAAAAAGGTATCTAAAGGCAAGCAAAGAAAAAAATGTTTCTTCTGAAAGCAGGTGTCTTGTTGTGGTACACTGTGATACAGAGAGGTGAAAAGAAACCGAGGAATCTCTAGAAGTAATATCCTCTTATTATTTTCTCCTCACCTTTCTGTATTCGACTCATCCTTTTCTAGCGAATCACATTTTCTGGAGGGGACTATAGGCGTGTATGGCAGATATATAAACCTCTTTATGGTGTGTATGAAAGTAAATAACCTGGCTTCTTGCTGCTTTAACAGTTGGGGTAGAAAAAGAAGGAAAACAGCCCTTCAGATTGACACAATGGCATGTTCTCCGACAGGGGGAGAGGGCACAGAGAAAGGGAGGGAGGCGAAAAAGGAGGAAAGCAAACACAACAAACGGCAATGAGATAGCCTCAATATCAGCGCTCAAATGGGATGGGAAGGTGAGCGTAAATCCCAGCGCCCCAGTTTCCATTTCTAAAAGCTCTTTCTTCTGTCCTGCCCTGTTGCTTTTCCCCTGGATTTCAGGGGGTAAATCCGCCACCGATATATCAAGAAAAAGCATGAGAGCTGCTGGGAAATTACCACCGCAAATACTTTACCTACACTTTCAGGACATTTACGAATATCAGAACGTTTCCGTTCTCCCGTTTCTCCTAAAGCATTCCTGGGTGAGAAATGGGATGATTATTGTCACCAATGGGAAGCCATTCTCCCATTTCAGTTGGGGACTTAACAGAGCCAAGGCCCCTCTTTTGGCTCGGCGTAGTGTCTCATGTCTTAACAAGGCTTTACTCCGGGCCAAACGGTAAATAAAAACTTCCCAATCTGGCTCTGTGTGCTGCTCCACATTGCGGGTGTGGAAGCATTTGTGTGTGTCTGTGAACTGTGTCAGCGCTCGTGTTGTGTTTCTTCTTTGCCATTTCTTTGCCTCTCCTTCTCTCCTCCCTTTAACTCACCCCCGTCCTTCCTTATACAGCATATCAATGAAGGCCAGATATGTACTGGGGGGGGAGGCAGTGTGTGTAGCTGTGCATGGCTGAGCGCACTGTTCAATAGTTGGGAGGCTGGCTGGGGCCGCGGCTGGCAAACGGCTGCAGCCGAGTCTTCGGCTGGGCTGCGCTATCGCACCCAGTTATCGTTTCCCCCATGAAGGGCTCCCTTATCACCCCAGCCCAGAGAGGTCTCCCTTCTTCTCCCATCCCCGAAACACACTCCCCCTCGTTCCCTCCCCATCCAGCCCACCCCTCCCTCCTCCACCTCCCACCCCCCCATTCCCCTTTCATATCCACCCAGCGCTACGTCGCACAACATTCATCCAAGAGGGAGGGAGAGGGAAGAGGGGGGCTTCAAAGACCCCCCCCCCCCCCCCCCCCCCCCCCCCCCCTCACAAACACACAAACTCTCAGAGTGTACATAAATGTGTATGTGGTGTTATGTGTGTGTGTATGCTCAATTTGCCAAAACAGTTTTTCCAGTGTAATTGGGCTTGGGGTACCTGTGTCCATGAGATAGCGCAGCCTCTTCTCCACGCGAGCTGCTCGGGCGTCTATGTGCCTCTGCTCGCTCTCCAGCGCAGACAGCTCCCCAACCACATACTGACTGGTGTCTTTGAACGCCTTCTGTCAACCGAGAGAGAGCGGGAGCGAGGCAGAGCGCAAAACAGCCGGAGAATAGTTATGAGAGAGAGAGGAGTAGTGAGAGTTGGAATGAAACAGGAGGAGAGGAGGGAAAGATAGAGGAGATTGAAGGAGAGGGATAATGGAGGTAATGAGGATGAAGGGGGAGAGGGAGGAAGAGGAGGGTGACATGGTTAGGAAGATCAGAGGAGAAATCAGAGCACTTTAAAAACTGATTTTAGGCAGAAAATGATCAGAAACAGGGATTCATTCTTCAACAAATGTGAAAGAATCATACGTCTCCAGCGGATATCTGCTTCCTTACCTAACAGAAGAAATGTGAAGAGTTTTCTTTTTTAAAGGTAGTTGTTTCGAATCCAGCAGTAAATCAAGATGATTTTTTTAACCATTTGACCTGCTGACCCCAGATCAGCTATTCTTAGCTGACCTCAGATCAGCTGGTTCATCTCTGATCTAAACAAATTCTGCATATACCATCTGTCAAGATTCATGTTTTTTCTCAAGAAAATTGTAAAAAACTAATAATGTAACTAATTATAGGATCAAAACTATTAGTCTAATGAGAAAAACATGCTCAGGATAGATAAAATACAAAACTACTATTTTAATGGGAAATTAATTTAATAAAAGAAGCAGCACTTAAAATCTCAAAATAAAAGACAGAAAGAATAAAAAAAAGGGATAAATTCACACCTTACTTTATCCATTGAATTTAATACAAAACTTCAGTAGTTTATTTAGTTTTACTCATTTCATGGTTTAAGATTTTGGTTTATATGGCTGCAAAACATCAGAAAATCTTAAATCACTAAATAATCTATACTTTAAGAGCTTTAGCATTTTAGCTGCTAAGACCACAAGTGAGACCAGCGAACGTCCATCCAACAGTTCAGAAATATTCATGGCATGCAGGAGGTAGATGCTTAATGGTTAAAGTAGATTCTTAATGGTTAAATATAAGATAATAGCTTAAGATAATAGCTTATGCTGCATATGCAACGTATGGTGCAGCTCCTAATATTTCCAAACTTTTACAAACACATACAGGCTAACTGCAGCGCCTCATTTAAAGTGCGTTCATCATCATTGCAAACCCGCCCTCAGTTCACCTCAATAACTTCGAAGCAAAGGATGAGAAGAGAAAGGGAAGAAAACGGTGTCTAGGAGGATGCTGCTGGGCATACATTAAACTAAAGAGGCTAATATTTCTAACTCACTGGATTAGTTTAGTTCACAGTTTTAAAAATTGGCTCCTCAAATGTTTTAACCTGCGAGCCCAAAAATAACAACCTGACGACCCTTTAAAACGACAAAATGGCTTCAATATACATTTATTTATACATGTAAAGTTATAGTAATCTTTTTTAAAGACATTTATTTTGTACACAAATCAATACCCACATACCTACAGGTATGATTTCAACATATATAAAGAAAGCAGGACCTAACAGGACCTCTATAAGCTGCAGTTTTCTTCTGACTGGAAGACATCTTTACATTTTTAGATCAGACCTGGAGAAGTCTATAATCTGTGCAGGAAGCAACAGATGAGGGTGATGATAAAGAGGTCTTCCTTCTCAAACATAGTTAATAAAAAGGCAGATGCCTTTGAGCCAGAATGACAGAATGTAAACGAAACAAATGGTTGCTGTTTTTATTTTCTATAGACATGCTCGTCTCTTTCCTATCAAAGCCTAAATTACTTGTTAATTGAAATTCATTTTCAACCTAAATCAGGTGTTTATTTTTATTTTTTTTAGGTATTTAGTATTTACTTGCATCTGGTTGTATTTTAATACCTAATCTGAATGTTTCTGAGACCTGATTCCTTTTGTAATAAATACCCCAGAGAATCCTAAAGAAACTTCTGAACAACATGAAAAAGTCGGAGCTGACAGATGTGCATATGTGGACACTTGGAATATAATTATAAGAGTTTGTGAGAAGAATTCTGCAAACACTGATATTATGTCTGAATAGATTTATAATTAACTGTGATTTCATAGCTAATGTGAACTCATCTTTCATCCATAAGTTGTTTATGTTTTGCAGTGGAGACTCCATCCACCTGCAGCTTCCTCGTCCTCCCGCTTTATTAAATTAAACCTTTGATTCAGCTCCTCCTTCAACCCTTCAACACACTCTCCTACTTCAGCAAAGTCTTTTCCATTTTCTCCAACACAGCCACAGCATTTGCAGACGTATCTACACACGCAACCCATCACTCTATAAGTGTAGGCACTTAATAGACTCTCCATTTGTGACCCCTCTTCACCTCTGTCTCCTTGCTGTTTGCTATTCTTCAGAGAGACTCCTCTCAGAGAGGGAAAAAATGTTTATTCAAATTTCACCACTAAGGATGCATCCGAAAAAATATCTCCATTTTTATTGCTGATGCACTTCGTTTTCCTTAATGGGAAGGAGAACTAGTGAGCAGGAGAAAAACTTTTTTTTTTTTCCTTTCCTTCATTCCACCCAAGCCAGCACTTTTTTTTTCCTGTACTCTTTCCAGCACATGAGAGTGCATTCATGTAGCTCTATGAGTGTGTGTGTGTGTGGGCAAATTCCCTGCAGCCTCCCCTCTACGGCTCTCCTACTCCCCCCTCTGCGCGCTCTCGCTCTATCAACATATTTTTCCTTGGCAAATCAATTTTACACATGATCAGCCCACTCCCCTTGCCGCGCTCAGCCCAGCCGTAATTAAGAGGAGGGAAATTACCATATATATTATATTAATGCAAACATCATTCAGCAGGTAATTCTTGGCTGATCGGGATAATGGAAAGGTTGAACACCCATTAACCCTGGGGCCCGGGCACTGGGAGGAGGGTGATGTGTGTGTGCGATGAGACCAAGGTGGAGGGTCGAGGGTAGGAGAGGGGCTGCTCGGGAGGAGAGATTCACCTCCTGGTCTCTAGTGGCCCATATGCTCAAACACTCACTCCCTGAAATAATAGTGCTCTTATAAACACTCTCTTTGAGAAGACAATATGAAATGTGTGTCACTTAAAGGACGTAGAGCGCACCCACTTCCACGCGGCCGCTGGTATCTACCAGTGTTATAATTAACATGGAAGTGTCTTAGATCAATACGGAGATGTCCCTCTGGTAAGGAGGGGACGGCGCAGGAAGGAGGTGGTAAAGGTGAAAGGCAAGGTGGGAAATTTAAGAGTAGCAGGAGGAGAGAGAGAGAAGTGGAACCAAGCAGGAAATCTACAGACCTGGTAGCAGAAATGACCTTGAATGTTTCAGCGCCCTGATATTCAACAAACTTTTACCTAAACAATAATCTACCAAACATCTGGGAGATGATTAAACAGGAAACCCAGACTCATTTTGATGTTTTTATTTCTTTCAAACATGGGTGTCGGTTCCATTCCAGGTTATAGATTCGATTATTTTCTGATTTTAAATGTGATTGCTGGTATTAAAGTCGTAGGGAAGTCATATTTAAATTTTAAACCATTCTGGCTTAAACATGTATATAAATGTACTCTTTATCAGACCATATTGTCCCAAAAGTTAGTGTAAATTTTTAAATGTCTTAAAATCTGTTTTTTTTTATTATCATATGCAGGCCAGTTAGTTATACGTCAGCCTGTACACCTAAATTCGGCCAATCATAAATCAACGGTCATCGGTGAATCTAATTTTTTTGGTCATAGCATCTTGATTCATGTCTCAGCTAATATACGCAACGGTTGAAATGAGAGGTTTCCACCGTCCATAGCGTTCCCTGACAGTGTCGTTTCAAAGTCACCAATTTAGCGCTACTTGGTCCCAATGTAATTTCCCATCGGGAACCTACTAGCACTAAGTTGCTAACTGGTTAGAAGGATGCTTCCGAGAAATCGGCCACAACCAAACTTGCTTGTGAACCTTCCGCCCCAACAATCCCGTCCCCTTCATAAATCACATTCACTTTATTCACTCTAATAAAGTTGTGCACCACTCGGGAGAATTGGGAACTACACCGTTGGAACAGCCGTTTCTCTACGACTTTAAAATAAAACTTTCAAACCGTTGCTTGAATGACAGGACTGTGTGGTTATGCAGCATGTTGATACTAGTTTTATATTATGTTCAACTACAAAATGTATAATGTTTATTTTTAAATAAATCTTTCATTTATATGAAAGAACATTTAGGAATATATATTAATAAGAATCAATTCAGAAGTGAAACATTTACTGTTTTAAAACTGCTAACCATCTTAAATGAACAAACCTCTTCTTCAAAGGGTCGCTGGAGGTCAACCTCTGTCTGTGAACCTCTGTCCTCCTCGACCTTCTTCAAATCTTCAGGAACTGATTTCTGTCGCTTCACCTCTGAAAGCATGGAATCAAAAACAAAAATTAAACAATGACCCAAAGTGTTGGTTTTATGCAGGAATGGTTTCCAGTGTCTCCTCTATTTAGTGTCCTGTTCTTCATTAAATGTAAAACTTCATTATATAAGATGAATATGATTAGACACAAATATAATCAAGTTGCATTAATATCTAAAATAAAAATCAACTATAACTTAATTATATGAAGAATAAAGACTCAAAATGTAATGGTAGATATTTAAAGTGATCATTGCTCAGAATGTTACACCTTTTTGCCGTTCTGATATTTAACGCTGTGACATGACAGCTTTATATCATCTACCAGAATGAGCTGCTTTTGAAATAGTGTCATCTTAAAGCCTGTTTCCATTCTCTGCTTGCACTTTAAAAGGTCTACCTGTTTCTAAGCTTGTCGAGCATTATTGCTCTCATGAGTTCAACAAGTTGGCAGGATTGTTAGGGAATGTTGTCACAACAGGGCGGCTCTAAGTTGGCTTTAAATTGAGAAGAAAATTGCGACGATGAATGACATCTCAACCTGTGATTTCAGGTGATTAAAACAAGCATCTGTAAATCCCTGAATGGGGACTAAAATAGACATATAGAAACACAGGGATGACTGCTCCCGTATATGAAGCATGGAGCGTTAACAGGCTTTTATAAGAACGATGGGGGCCTTCCTTTAACTTCGACGTCCAACCGGTATGTTATTTTTTTGTTTTTGTTTTTTAATGGAAGCAAACATTTTGAAAGCAGTTTAAATCTTTTTTAATTTGAAGGAAATTTGTGATATTGTATGTTCAGTCGAGCTATGCAGAAACAAGTGGAGGAGGGGCTATACAGCTTTAACCAATGCCTAGAGGGCTGGTTATCCTCCCGCAGCAGCGTAGCACTGAGCTTGTGGCAGGTATGATGCAAACATTTTTGATTTGTGCTCAATATTGAAGCGTGGTCTGTGCTATTATTTAGTATTATTTGCTGATTTTGCAGGTTTGTCCACTTACAAAGAATGCAACAATCTATAATTTTAATCATATGTACATTCTAACAGGGAGAGACAGAATCCCAAAGAAAATTCCAGAAAATCACATCATATGAATTTATAAAAATTGATAACCATCTGATGAGGAAAAACAAGTATTTGACCCCGTACCAAACAGCATGTTAATATTTTGTAGAAAAGCCATTATTGGCCAGCACAGATGTCAAACTCTTTTTATAGTTGGTGACAAGGTTTGTGCAGATTTCAGCAGGGATGCTGGCCCACTCCTCCCTGCAGACAGCCTCCAAATCATTCAGGTTCCGAGGTTGTCGCCTGGCAACTCGAACTTTAAGCTCCCTCCAACAATTTTCAATTGGATTCAGGTCTGGAGACTGGCTAGGCCACTCCAGAACCTTGATGTGCTTCTTCTTCAGCCACTCTTTTGTTGCTTTGGCAGTGTGCTTAGGGTCGCTGTCGTACTGAAACACCCATCCTCGACCCATCTTCAGCTCTCTCACTGAGGGAAGGAGATGTTGGCCAGAATTCCACCATACATGGCCCCGTCCATCCTCCCCTCAATACGATGGAGTTGTCCCGTCCCCTTGGCTGAAAAGCACCCCCAAAGCATGATGTTGCCACCACCATGCTTGACGGTGGGGATGGTGTTCTCTGGGTTGTACTCTGTGTTCTTTGCTCTCCAAACACACCGTTCCATGATCAGAGACACCCCACAAGGCGAGATCTTGTGTGGAGGCCCAGACCGAGGGAGGTTGGCGGTGGTGTGGTGCTTCTTCCATTTCCTGATAACTGCACCCACAGTTGATCTTTTCTCTCCAAATTGCTTTCCGATTCTCTTGTAGCCCATCCCAGCCTTGTGCAGATCAACAATCTTGTCCCTGATGCCCATAGAAAGCTCTTCGGTCTTGCCCATGGTGGTGATGTTGGATGCTGGTTGTTTGGGTGTTGATAGGTTTCTCTTATACAGGTAATGAGGTGAGGCAGGTGTATTTGATGTAGATAATTGGTTGGGATTGGGGCTGTGTCTTAAAGAAAGACTAACTGGCTTGTAGGAGCCAGAATATTTGCTGTTTGGTAGGTGGTCAAATACTAGTTTTTCCTCATCAGATGGTTATTAATTTTTATAAATTCATATGAGGTGAATTTCTGGAATTTTCTTTGGGATTCTGTCTCTCACTGTTAGAATATAAATATGATTAAAATTATAGATCCTTGCATTCTTTGTAAGTGGGCAAACCGGCAAAATCAGCAAGGGTCAAATAATTATTTCCCCCACTGTATAAACTATAAATTGTAAGTGCCAGTATCACCATTAATGCCTAAAAAAAAAAAAAAAAACTTTCTTTTATTCTCAGAGTGTTTTTCATTAATTTCTTACAGAAGCACTTTTGTCATTTTTCTTAATATATCCGGGCAAGTTGGTGTTTCTTGTTATTACATTGACATTCATTTTTGCCATCAAAATATACATATTTTTTTAATGTTACATAGGGAATAAGGTCTTGTCCTGGATTCCAATAAAATTACTGGTTTGAAATTTAGATTTTCAAAGTATTTCACTGAGTGCCGTATAAAGGGTTAAGAGCCATAAAGAAGGAGGTTTCTGGTACATAAAGGCCTCCGCCGGTCGTTTGTCACTCTCTGCATGGTGTGCGTTCTCACCTGGTCTGTTCTCGACGTACTGGCTGAAGGACTTTAGCTGAGTCTTCCTCACAGCGGAGTCTTTGTTGAAAACCACCGGGCTGCGCAGCTTCTCCGTGGCTCTGCGCAGACGCTCCGCACGCAGCTCCTCAGCGTTGTTCTTGAACAGACAGAAAAGAACCTCTAAATAACAGATAATCTAATCCACAAAATAGAAAACTTTAATGGGATAAAACAAACCAACAAACAGGAAAGAACTTTATTATAATATGCTTTCATCTGAACCTGAAATCTGCTTCAGACCTTCTATCAAATTTAGGTTTTACACACCTGCCACCAGTATAGAAGCTCTGTTATAATTTGTTAGCATGAGTCTCTCCAAAAAACACACACACACACCAACACACTCATTCACTGTCTGCCTCACTCATGAGCGAGACAAAAAGGAGGCAATTAACTCGACTTTCAACAAAACCTCCAGCCAGAAAATATATTCAGATTATGCAAAATGCAAAAGAAAGAAGAAAAAAAAAAAGGAACTGCTATTGTTTTCAAAGTGAACACATGTTAAAAAGCTGAACGCTCCCTTCTCCCTCTATCAGAAACGGGATGCAGAGCCGCTTTATTACCGAGACTCCGACTATGCCAAGCCGAGTGGAAAAAGAAACCGACTTCGCTTAAAGATTGACGTTGCGGCAGCATTAATAAGACGGCGAAACGTGTAATAAAGTCGACAATTAGGGCAGACACGTTCCGGCGCTTGAGACGGAGGGAGATAGGCGAACATGGTGTAGAGTCAGCGTGGGTGGGTGGGAAACGGGGCGTAGACGAGGAGCTGTTAGAGCTTCTTCACATTATTGACTCTCAAAAACAAAGTCAGCAATTAGCCTCTCCTCACTTTGTTTTGTCTATTAGTCTGTCGGCTTCCGCTGGCCACTTAAAACCTTGTGTCAAGTCGAAATTGAAGGAAATTTATTTATGAAGCGCTTTGGGCTTTTATAGAAAAAAAGGCCAATTAAATATTTTAAAACAGGACCAGAACTGGGGTGCGTGGAGGCACTGATGACCTTGTTTGTGTTCAGAGGCAGCAGCTCGCAAAGCTAGCAAGTTTATATACAATTTACTGACGGGCATTAAAAGTAAAGAGAACGTGGAAAATTAGAAGCAACCCAGATCTGAAAAGTCCTCAAATTATGATGATTCAACTGAGTAAAGAATGAGTTAGCTAGTAGCTGACAGGAGGCATGGGCCGACTACAGCTAGAACAGAAAACCAAGGATTTAAATAGTGTTTCCTCTTAAACCCTTTTTTAATCTAACTTTCAAAATGTCGGTCCATTTAAATGCATGAAAGCAGAAATTTACGCAGTGTTTAGTTTCTCAGAGCTACATCAGCAGATAGCATGAATAATTAGCCTGTTTGTGTTATTATAGAACAGAAGTAGCCAAAATAGTGATACTCCATGATGTTATCACCTAATTTAATTTAATTTTGTGCATCAAAATAATAAAAAACTAGATAATAAAAAAATTTTAATTAAACTTTATTGATCTCCCAATGGAGAAGTTCACTCTATGCATTTAACTCGTCCCCTTGGGGAGCAGTGGGATGCCACTGTGCGGCGCCTGTGGAGCAGTGTGGAGTTAAGGGTCTTGCTCAGGGACCCAGAGTGCTGGCTGTGGTGATCGAACCAGGTACTTGCAACCTTCTTGGAGCACAAGCGCACTACTCTAACTACTAGGCCAACACTCCCCCAAAAATGTTATGTGGGCTACATAGTGGTGTAGGGGGTAGCACTGTTGCTTTGCAGCAAAAAAGGTTCCGGGTTCAATTCCCAGCCTGGGGTCTTTCTGCATGGAGTTTGCATGTTCTCCCTGTGCATGTGTGGGTTCTCTCCGGGTACTCCAGCTTCCCACAGTCAAAAAACATGACTGTTAAGTTAATTGGCTTCTCTAAATTCTCCTTAAGTCGGGCCTACACCGTGCGATCTTTTTCAATCGTTGCACGCAGCTGCTGCTCACACTGTTCGACTAAACTGCAGGGTTTAGTCGAACAGTCGATTTCACACCTCACGATTTATGTTCGGCCCGATGCTCTGATGCGATCTACCTGCTCACACTGTACGACTAAAAAGCATGTCAGACTCAGCTCCGCAGTGAGATGGAGCTGCTTTGACTCATCTATCCTGAAGCCAAACAAATAGAAGGGGAATATGAAGCTCACTATAGTGAACTGCGCTGCCTTGGCAATTTATGCAATTTTGTGCTGAAGGTCCTTAAAAGAAAAGGCGACGACGTATTTGAAAAAAAGACATAGCTGAGCAAACGTGGCTCCTACGGTCTGTCAATTTTACAGACAGAACTGCATTTCACTCATTGCATCCCTGCCACGCTGCTGTGTTTACATCTGAGAGGAGGAATAAAAAGAAGAGTCCTTCTTTGCGCATGCAACCTGAGCGATTTGCCCATGACGGTCCGGAAAAAATCAAACATGTTTGATTTTCTCCCGACCTCACAATTCCTGATGGGGAGGTGGTCGTGAGAGGTTGATCGCCGCCCGTAAACCCCTGTACACTACATGACTGACGACGCACGATCAGGCTGAAATTCGGCACAATCGAAAAATTCTTGCACGACTGGAAAATCGCCCCGAAGATTGCACACTGTATGGCCGGCTTTAGGTGTGAGCGTGTGCATTGTTATGCGTCTATGTTGCCTGCGACAGACTGGTGACCTGTCCAGGGTTTACCCTGCCTCTCGCCCGTATATAGGGACGGAATAAGCGGGAGAAAATGGATGGATGGATAAATAGATAATATCATTTCTGTCTGTATTAATAAGGTGATCTTGTAGCAGTTTATAGACTGAGTGTGAAAATCTCATAAAGATGTTTTTTGTAGTCTAGATATAAAGTGATTCCTGTAACCTTTCAAGGAACTGATCCTTCAACTTTTAACAGATTAGTGGGTCATCTGAAATTAGAGAAGCCCAAACAAAGACCCTGCAATCAAACATAGATTTGATCAAGAATTCATACATTAGTTTAAATAAAAGTTTAATTAAATGTCAATTAACTGGATTAATGCTTGTCATCTGCGTCCATCTGCAGAAAATACTGCAATTATCCTGAGGCCGCCTTAACACTAACAGACCTACTGCTTAACTGTTGTAAAATTATGACTTGTCATTCGTGCTTTTATCTGCAGCAACATTTCTACCGAGGGCGACACCATTTCAATCAGAAGATCGCACAAGCATGCTGAACACCTGCCCACTTGACTACCCCTCCATTTCCTTTTCACACTCTGGCACAAGCAGATATTGGGGTGTTTGCCCCTTCTTGCTTTCTTTCATTCTCCCTCAGTATCTCTTATCGTTGCTACAATCACTGTGGTAAGCTGCAGCAGTGGTGATTCAGGGTTTTTAGTGCATGTGAGGCTGAAAATGTGCATGCAGGGGGCTGCGTGACTAATGTTGCAGTCTGCTGAGCGTCGCATGGCCTTATCGTGCGCCGCCGAGGCTGCGCATACACACAATCGGTAATGAGAAGGACACTGTGTGTTGGTGGGTGATGTTCCTGTAGGGGCATAACACCAGCCTTAAGGACCTGGTGGAGCCCAGACAGACTTTGGAAGGAAAATATGTCCTTATTTAAACAAGAAAACAATTCAAACTAACCACTACGTACAGAAAGATAATTATTCACACCTTTTTTCTTTCTATAGATCTGTTCCTTGTACTTTCTTTGCCTCAACAATCATACATGACAAAAAAGTCTCTAGACATTGTTAAAGGCTAGAGGGAAGTTAGGGAAGCCTTGCCCTTCTAATATACATTCTGAATACAACACAGAATAACACTTAACAGACTGCAAATAAAGTTTTATTTTATGTAAAAGTCAGATATAAACTGAAACTCATATGAATCAACTCAAGAAAAATGAATTAAATAAATAATTATTAAATCAATTGTGAGGATTTGTTCCAAGCTAGATTGTATTTTAAACCAATATTCATTTTCTGTTAAGGACAGGTCCGTGTTGTAATACATGTGCTGTACCAGTAGGGAGGAAGAAAAGCAATCTCAGATGTTTACCATTCGCTCTCGGTAATATAACTCCCATTTTATAGGAAGTTCTATGGAGTTCAATGGACATTTTTTGAATTAAAAAAGCTTTCTGGATGGGAAGTGAAACGTCTTCAAACTTGGAAACCAAGTCCAGTGGATTGTTTTAAATTTTCTTTTTTTGGATTGACTATGACCTGGATGACTGAGAACCTTCACCAGTATAAAGACGCATCTTCAAAGTTTTCCAGTCCTGTCTCAGTTGCTACGCTTTTTACTTATGCATAAACAAATATATAAAACTAATTTTCCAAGTTATGTTATTGAGGTATATACTAATGTGCCTGGTGACTACTGAACTTTTGAAGGATGTCCAGTTTAAACAGACTAATGCAGAAAGAGGAAACTTACATTAAAGGGAGTTCTTTAGATTTGATTGCAATTTCTCAATATGAACGTATTTAACATCTGGTTTTATTAAATTTGCAAGAATAAGACTTTTGCCAAGAGATTTCTGATTTTTGTTTAACATCAGTTCAGCCATTCTATTAGCATTAGCTGAACCTGTTAACTAATGTTATCCTTTGGCTAGCATTAGCAAATATTTAACATACTTATTCAGAAGAAAAGGGAAGAGCTCTGCCTGCTAACTGAGCCCCAAAAGCTGGACCAGTGTTCACTCTAGTTTGCTTACATTTGAGAAATATAACAGAGTAAAGAAGCCATTTTTCAGCCACATCAATGTCTGACCTCCATCTCATTTAACTTAAACCTCCTATTCCTAATGGTGCAGAATCCTCCATAGCCAGTTGGAAGTATATGATATATTAACATTTATACAACAAATATGCTGTGTTTTTCAGTAAAAACAAAACTTTTTCTTGTCACAGCTCCAGAGGTTCTGTGGATGTATTTTTCTGAAAAATGTATCATTTTAATCAGAGTTACAGCTACGACTTTTGAATGTCAATGTTGACAGTAGTGCCAGTGACTTGACATAGGTATTCAGTTTGAACCACTCCTTAAAAAAAAAATCAGAATGATTGTGTTTTATCTAAAAACAACAAAAGCAGGAAAAATGGCTTAGCTACAAGGACTCACACTGAATGCTGCAAAGCATTTTAACATTTAAACTGTGGAGCTTTTCTAACTAATGTTGCAACTCTGTAGCACAACAGAGTGAAAAAGCTAATCAACATTAGTCTCTTTAGCTTCAACATATACAGTTAGCTTTGTATCATAGTTGGACATAAATCTGAAGCAAATGCATCCCTAAAGGTGTTTCATTTACTAACAGGTGGGATTCCAGGTGCTTAACTCCATCCCTGTTTTCATTTAGTTTAATCTAATTACATGGTCAAGTAGGAGGAATAGATTCTTTTGATCATCATATCAGCACCAATGGAGGCATATTTTAGATTGAAAAAGATAGCAGAATGACTACATATTTATATTTTTCTACAATGATAGCCACTGTTAGAGACTACAGATTTAATATTTGTCTCTTTTAGGTCCTATATTCTGGGCCCATCACTGTACATAAGCCGATTCTTCTTCTGTGAGGGCCATCTGATTACATGCACACATATACACTCCGGCAGCCTTAAAGCACTAAGCCATTTAGGCTTTGAACACAAGAGGGTGTTTCTGTGAATAGCTGATCAAAGACGCCCCGCACTGTCGTACGTGCCGAGAGTTTAACATGTACTGACAGCCGCACACCGATTCACTTTATTCTACTTGACATTCAAAATCAATTAAACAGATGTTCAAACTACCCGACTGCCATGTTGACTTAATACTCCCATCAGCAGCTATAGACAGAGGCAGCAGGACGGGCTCTACAGCTGTCCCCCTACACACACCTAACTGTCTGTAAAGGTCACAGTCAATAAAGGCGATGGCGACATAGAACGTAGAGCGCTGCGATGCCAGACGTGTATCTGTTTGTCACGGCTTTAAACAGACATATATGGACATGAGAGGGATAAACTATGGTCTGGCATGAAGCTTCAGCTGACGGATGAGTTGAAAGGGTCAGCAGGCAGACAAACAGGGTCAATCTGGTCTAATTGATTGGAGTAAAGCTTTGATGGTGCATCGAGTAAGAGAGAAAAAACAACAAAAAACCACAAGATAAAACAAGGGCAGGGAGTGATTGAGGGGAAGGGGCTCTATATAAGTGTGTACCAGTACCTCCAACCCTGTAGGGCTGAGCGGCGAGGCAGAAGAGGCCGTTGGTGAGGAGGAGGACGACGTGGAGGAGGGTGATGAAGGTGAAGTGACTCCTCTTGGACTGGTCTCTGCCAGCTTCTTCAGCTTCAGATCCACATGTTTACTGTTTGTGCCTTGAGAAGAAGAATAGAAGATCATGGATGATAGGTAACTGAAAAGATTAATGGACTACTGAAACAATCGTCAGCTGGTCATCCATTAAAAATGTTCACTGGAGCATAAAGGCACAAAAAACAATGTTTTAATCCATTTAGATCAGCAGTTAAGTGAAAAACAGCATAAAGATTAGAACATTTACTAATTCGCAGCTTCACCAGTTCAAAATCTTTAAAAGGGAAAAAAAAGAATGATTAAGGATAATTTGCTACCCGTTTATTAATATGTTAATCGTTAATGTAGTCTAAAAATTAAACTAATTAAAACTTACTTACCTTACTATTAAAATTCTAATGTTGCAAAACAGTGAACTGTTTAGTACATCTCGGACAAGCCTATTTGAGATGGAAATTTTTTTGCAGGAACTCACTGAATCTGGACTCTGCATTGGCTGTAATCCTCCTGGATAGGCATCCTTTCATTACTTTTACCACCAGACGTGAGTTCCTTACCTGCACACGGAGTGGGAGGACTTTTCCTTATTGGGGGAAGGTTAGGGGCGGGGCTTACAGTTCAAACTAAACTGTTGTCCTCGCTCATTGTTCAAAACTGTGCAGAATGAGGTGCAGCGCCTTTAATCTTTGATTACTGGGTCTTTTAATAATGTCAATGGTTTAAGTATTTAGATGTTTATTTGAGGTAAAGATGAAGAATTTTGAGGCAGCGTGCTTTAACTTTGGGATGACTGTCCTACCATTCTGCAATAGGTAAGTAGCTAGGTCCAACGCTGATGTTTGAATCCCTGATATAACAGAAGGAGGCCGTCTTCAAGCGGTTTCCATTGAGTTAGGGGGATGAAACTGTTCTAAATATCCTGCTATCTCAAACCATTTTAAGTTCCTTTCACTGGAACTAAGTGGGAAGCTGTGAAATCAGAACTCCTCTGCTTAAGTATCAGAAATTGAGTCAATTCGTTGCTCCAGAGAACCGTCTCCATCGATCTTTAATGGCCCATTAGTATAATCGTTAACAAAACTAACAAAATCATAACTAGAATTGAAAAAATATTTTTGTTGACTGAAATAATAAAAACTAAACCTTTCAAAAAACAAAATTAAAACTAACTTAATTTTAAGAAAGTTTTAATTTGTGTCTTTATCATAATGCATTAATATGAGGTCTGGTTTCATTAGAGGCTTAAAGGTATAGTGGAGGATGTTCCTTTTCCTGGTGGATCATCTATATAAGTGGTCCTCCTAATCGTCAATCATTCTGGTGATATGTTTCTGCACATGCGCTCTTTCAGGCGTATATTTATGCTACGGTTTCACACAGTCATTGAAGCTTACCGTTCTCACCAAGGTTCTTTGAACATCCCGAAGGTCCTAAGAGAAAACGTCTCTAAGAAGTGTATGAGAAGAAGAGAAAGGTCTCAGAATAGAGAAACAGGACCAGAGTGTTTTTGGGGAATTCTTTCACGCGATGGCGTACACTGAAAGCACAGGCCGGGCTTCCCACTGATGCCTCGGTTGCAACGTTTCTACTCGACAGGTAAAGTTTGGTATGCTATTTGGAGAAATCCATTTCACATCACTGATAGTAAAACGAAGAGAAACAGGCTCGAGCAATAGGTGTTCCCTCTCGAGAGCGGGTAGAGTTGTGCATTGTGCTTTTTAATAAGTGGAGAGGGCGGGTCTTTTTAATGATTCACAAAAATCCTCCACTATACCTTTAACTATAAATGCAACAAACTTATTTTCATAAAATAAGAACTGAACTAAACTAGCTAACAAACATCAAAACTATCTAATCTTGGTTTAGGATTGCACTGGAAGGTTTGGATGCAGCTACTCGAACATTCAAACCCAATCCAAACATGCACTGTTCCTGAGCCATTCAGTCATGGAACAATGCAGGAGGACACTAAGCTCGTTCTTTAGGTTTGTGAAAAGCAGTCCGAAGGCCTAGAAGCTGGATTAAAAAGGACGTCCCTGGCTATGATGACTGTACAACCATTAATCTGTGTTTTTACATGAGCAGCTGTGATTCTATTTTACTACTGAGCATCTGTATACGTTAATTTTACTCACTTTCTCTGGAAAAAAGGTTTAATTTCTTTTACAGCTCCTTCATTTTTCCCACATCTTATTCTTTTACATCCGCCTATCAACATTAGGTGCGCCTTATTCTCTTTTTTAGAGCGTTCATCCTTCCTTCTCTGTGTCTGAGCGCCTGCCAGCCGCTGCATACAGCTCTATTTTCCAGGGACTGGTAACCACAGCTCCCCTGCCAGGCCAGACCACTGCACTGAAGAAGATGAAAGAACAGGAGGGCGACCGTTTCATGTGTCACCCCCTCTGTGTGCAGCCAGCAAACATGTACACACAAACACGTATGAATAAAGACACCAAATACAGATACATGCTCTTGAACTTTGTCGTATCACACAAACACATACACACTGAAATACAGCTGAAAAAAAAAAAGAATTCAAATAATCTGCTGCATTCAGGGAGTTAATATTGCCAGATTAAAGGGTGGCATCAGAGGCTTTAAAGCTGCATTCACAACCAGCGATTTCTTTTTAAAACATTACCAACAAAGACAACATAATAGAGGAAAAAAAAGGTGTAAGATAATGCGCTTCAAAAGGTAGAGAAAGCATTTTGTTTGTTTTTTATGTTGGTTTGGTCAGGTCCCTCACGGTACTCTAACCTATCTTACATCAACAGCAAATGAAGGCAGTAAACAGTAAATTAATTACAAAACATAATTAGTTTACCTCTGAAGATTTGGCCAAATGTTTTACTGAAGATATTTTTTCGGTTTTGTTTGCTACAAACCTTTCAGTTTAATAGAAAAGTTAAGGAAATAATAAAAAAACAAAAACAAAACTTTATTTTTTCATAGTTTCTATCCAAGCTGAGTATCTAACAGCGAGATGCAGCGAATGTGAATGGGACATTTTAGATAATTTTGGCAGTTTAAATAGGGCTACTTTTTGAACCGACACCTGGTCTTTAAGTTATGATGAAAAAAAAAAAAAAAAGCTAACAGATGTGAAGGGAGGAATTTTAAATTCACAATTACTAATTCCTGGTGACCTTAATGCATAAACATGCTCTATGATAAGGAAAGTTGTGTTTCAATTATTAAAAACACATTTATTGGAACATTTAGCGACCATTAAAATTAGACTTAAAAGTTGACCTGGGGAAGTAAAGGTGAAGTAAAGGAAGTAGGGCTGGTTATACTCCCGCAGCAGTGTGTCGCAGTGAGCTTCTCGCAGGTATGAGGCAGATATTTTTGATTTATGTCCAATTTTGAAGCGTGGTCTGAGCTATAGTATTCCACGCCACAACGCAAGAGGGACAATCACAAGCTAGCTGTCGGTCTAGATACGGCCGAGGCGGTGAGGAAGTGGTAAAAAACGCACGCTTGTGCAACAACAAAGGGACGTAAGGGCGAAAAAGAGCGGGGATCCATGTGGAAAAGGGTGGTAAGGTACCAAACAGGAAATACACATAGTGTAAAGCGGATTTAGGTTTGACCAATCAGAGGCCTCCTGTCTATGGAAGGGGCGGGGGCATATCTGCGTTCACTGCGACACATGAAGATGACCTGGTTTCTGAGTATAAACCAGCCTTTAGTAGAAAGAAACATGCAGCACCACCAAAGATCAGCCAGTAGTTTTACCCAGAGAGGTTAGCTCAGAGGCGGGGTTAGTAAGCTCCAGGCAGCCCTGGGTGCTGGAAGTGGCTGGAAGGGCCTCCTGCTGGAGCGGGTTAGTAACTGGTGCAGAAGCAGACAAGGTGGCATCAACAGAATCTGCGTCAACATCGCTGTAGCCCAGCTGCTCTTCCTCTGCCCTACTTTGTTCCTCATCCTCACTCTTTTCCCCATCAACAGCATCCTCCTCATCACTTCTCAGCCTGCCCAAAGCGTCTGTGGATGCAGAGTTAGAGAAAGAAGCAGAAGTGCATAAAGAGGAGGAATCGAGAGAAGGGGGGGGTTTGGTTGGTAATGGTTAGAGAGGAGAATGAAGGGAGAAGAACAGAAAGACTGTTTGGTTAGATTGTATTAACATGCCTCTTACCTCATGACTATTCCATCTCTTTTCACATCAGGAGACATGAAGAACCGAAAGCTGCTGACTACAGAGCTACAGCTTACAGTACATTCATGACCCTGTGAGAATCGGCTTGGTTTATACCCACTAATATGGTTAATCGTTTAGTTCATTTATGACTCCTAAATATAACCTGGAGACAGAATTTTATGATTTTTTTTCCCTCCATCAAATAGCTTTGAAGGACCTAAATTATGCTTGTATATACAGGATCTGTTAAGGCCTATAAAAATTAGAAAATAGTGAGTCAATCATTTCAGAAAGTGAAACTCAAACATTATCCCACACACTGAACTGTTTTAACTCTTTTTTTGTCATATTGACGATTAAGGCTTACAGCTTAAAGGTGCTCTAGGAGATCTTGGAAAAACGTTTCCAGCAGGAGCAGCGCATCGCTGATCTGGGAGCTGGCACGGAGACAGGCAGCACTGATGATGCAGAGCACTATGATCCCTCCTCTAAAACAGTTTATTAACGCCTAAATTAACTTAAAATGCCCAAATCTGGCAAAATATGTTCGCTTTTATTATCCTGGTGTCTGCAGTTTGGATTAAGTACATGAAAAACGTCTTCCAGCTGCCACGGCAAACCGCGAGGAGGCGACCGGGCCAGAGGCTGCTGTTGAATGGGATTCCTATTGACAGCGCACCGATGGTGTATGGGGGTCTGAGCGGCTCCGACAGAAATAATAAGGCAGGATGTTAATCTGGATGAACTGACTGCACTGACGATGTTTTCAGGTAGACTTTCTCATTTCAAAATGGATTTAAACTACTTTTACCCACTGATCACAGCAAATATAGCTGCCATTGTTACAGGCAAAGAAAGGATAGGGGAGCTCTGCCCAACGCGCATCAGAACCACTTTTTCCACCGCGCAGCCAGAGCAGCAAAGATGCTTCAGCCGCATTTCATAAATAAACCTGTACAAGCATCAGAAATGCTCTTGCTGCTTTAGGTCTGAACGTAGCACTACAGTGGCTAGCTACCAGCCATGACGTCCTGCACGAGCATTGGGGGTCGATTCATTCATGTCTCAGGGTATGCACATAGGGGGGAGGGACAAGCAGAAGACTATGATTGACGTGTCAGGAACCAATCATGTACAACGAACCGTGTTTTGTGACTGGTTGCGGTTATTCATTGATTTCTCACTGCAGCGGGGGCCATTTTCTTTAGTTTCACTTCCAGACCTTCTATTTCACTGCTTGCTAAGCGACTGTGGGCAGATCTTTAAGCCACATGGTAAAAATGCATCAGAAAATATCTCCTACTGCACCTTTAAGAGTTTATAGCTGATAAAATAAAATAAAAGAATCGAGGCCAAAATATTAGAATATCATGACAAAGCATTTTCAGATTTTTTTTTAAAGCTGATGGCAATTTTTTTGACATGATTTTCTCCATTTCCCCCAATATTAAATCATAAAATGAATATCATGGTAAATGTTTCATAAGTTTTAATTTAACCAAAAATCAAAGTCTATAAGCAGCTAATACAAATTATGAAGAATGGAGGAAGCAGCAATGCAAGCGCTTTATGTGATCTCAAAGCAGGAATGCACTGATAGATCTAAGAACAGATGCACATATTGGTATCAGTCAATACAAGAAAATATTGGTTGATTTTTACTCCAAAGGCATGGTGTCAGATGTAAAACACTTAAATCAACTCAAGATACCTGCAAAAGATCCCTGAGCCCCTAAAATACTTCTACCTAGACAGTCTGTCACACAGCAAAACACAAAAATTCTTTGATAAAGAAGCTGGACGTTCACAGAACTGCGTTATTGCTTATTCATGGAAAGTTAAGTGGAAGGAAAATGTGTTCACTTCCATTCACGTTGGACAGATTTCGGCGAAAAAGTGTTTTGCTCATCTGACCTTTACCAAAAACACAAGGATGTTCAAGAAAAATGTTTAAAATTTATGTTAAAACAAACAGAAATAATGATAGATGCTGGTAGATGGCGTTACATAGAAACAGCACCGTGAGCGGCACTATGGAGGCTTTTGCTCATTATTTTTCATGAACGACAGCTTTGCAAAGTGCAAGAGCTCGTTCTATAAAACATTAGATGATGCGTCCCTAAATGATAAAGATGGCTGTTACTGGTAGAGATCCATGTGAAGTCAACAGATTGAAATGTAAACTTTGGTGTATTTCTATCTAAATGCTGTTTGACTGATTTTAAATGCATATATGGTCTTCATTTATTGAGTCAAACTTAAAATGAATGTAAATTTAACACAATGTGAAGATTTTTAAAAGAATGTAACAAACGTGCATTCAGATCTAATAATGAGCTGTTTCTGTTTCTACTTTCCAATGTTTATAGGGGCATGGATTAGCATTTTTAATACTAGATCCACTTTTAGGAAACATTTGAAAAAGTCCTCACTGCAAATAAAGTGATCAGAGTAAATCTGTGCTGTATAGATGGCTTGTTGTGTTTTTGTCTGAGTATTAGCCAGCCTCACTCGTCAATGCTTGAAGCGTCGTCTCCAAATGTGCTCACATCAGGCATCACTCAAGAACTGTTCCTACAAACATTTAGGATAAAACTTTGCATTCACCATTTTCCTCCTACGTCTGATCTAATTTTTCTCCAATTTCTAATGTCTCAGGTAAGAACAAACTTTAGTTCTCCAGACTTGGCATAGCTTTTTTGTGCAAACAGTCAGCTGTTATTCAAACCTTTTTTTTCACGGCACACTGGATTCATTTGTTATTTTTTCAAAAGGAAAACAGTCAGAGAGCTCTTTGTGAGATCAGGGTGCTGTTGAATTAACAGCTGGAACAGAAAATGGATAGAAAATTCAGAATAAAGTCCAGCAACTTGCTGCTTGAAAGCCCTCAACACCGGTTGCGTACAACTTTTTAATCTACGATCTGATTTTTCAAGTCACACTGATTGCGTAAAGAGAGGCTACGATTAGGTAGGGTGAGCAGATCTGCATATATTTTTTTAATTCTGTCTCTGTGCTATAGCCTAAACAAATCAAAACTACTTCCCACTTTTAATTGGGACAGATAATGGTAATTTATTGAAAAATGTATTTAAAAACATCGGCACATACTATAAAGCAAGTCCGTGCAGCATCTGAAACCAGAACACAGAATGTTCACATGCCTTTATTAAAAACATAATGAGATCTACGTCTAAAGAAAAGCAGAACACGGCAACAAACGCCGTAGGGAGGTTTATATGCTGACTGAGGCACAGAGGTGATTCTCAGAGGAAGGTCTGGGAAGTTTATCAATTTTTCCTTTCTTTTTTTCATAAAGAGGTGAGAAAGATACGCAGCACGTACCTGCTCTGTCTGTGCCTCGTTATATTGTTTTTTTTTGTCAGGCTCAAACAGGATCACTATTTTACTATATCTGTTTTTTTGTCCTCCTGAAGATATTCATTTTTTGATGAGATTGATAAACTGCCTTTTCTGTCCCTTGTTTTTGCGAGGCTCAAAAAGGCTCATTACGTCAAGGCTTTTCTGTCCTTCTGAATTCCTATCATGGGGAAAATATTATATGTTTTTTATTTTCATTCATTGTTTTTGCATCAGTCTGTCCTGCTTGCTATATATGCTCTGTGCAACTCCCAAACCGACTGTTGTCTTGTGCGATTAACAGATTTTATTTTATATTTTCCCTCAAAGTGAATGGGTTTTACTTGGTAATTGCGTCTTTCTTCCTATCAGACCCATGAAATTGCTGCATAGTCCGACTAAAATAGATCTAGGATCCATCTCAGTTAGCTCCCTTGCATCAAATCGTGTCGGGTGTGTTTATCCCTATTGACTTTCAATGAGCGCTAAACGCCACAACCTCGTCTGACACAATATTCTGTCTGATCGGATGCTAAATCGGACTCGGTGTGTTCTGGCCTTACCTAAATTACACTAAATGTTTGGGTCTCCCTGAATTCGGTAAATAAGAGTTAAGCTGTCAACATTTTTGTTTAGAGATAGAGACTGAGATAAAAGATGACGGACATGCTCTATAGCTCTATGTAAGGATTGTTTTGCTCTATTTAAGGAGATTTAGCAGAATGTTTTGCTGTGTGGGTTGATATTGAACTCATATTAAGTATTTATATCACATTTTGCACCCCTTGCCTCCATCAGTGGTTTCCACTGGCTGTTTTCGGATCAAATGATTTTCATTGTTATTTTTTAATTTAATTTTTCCTTCTTTAACAGGCCATCTACATCATTTACTGCTCTTGTGGTTTTTATTTCACTGCTTTGCTTTTACTGGTCCTTTACTTCAGCTCTAAGTCATCAGAACTTCAATCTCTGAACTATTAAGCAAGAGTTCAGCAAGTCATATAACTCTGATTTAAAGAGCAAACCTTTTTATTAAGACATTTTGTTCATAAACAGTTCAAAGATCCAAGCCTTTAGGAACTCTTTGTCAAGATTTAAACCCTTTCCAAACTAAATGTCAAGAATTTTCAGGAATTTCTGGTTCCGATAAAAAACTGTCATCTATAGAGCACAGAAATCTAAAGAGCTGGTGACGGCATAAGGTGGTACAGCCTAGCATAGGAGAGACTCAAGTTTGTAGCTGGTGTCTGAGAGGGTTTGTGTGGTGTGGCGGAAAAATAACTCCGGCACACAATGTGAAAATGAGAACTCTGTATAATTACTCCCTCATTCAAAGATCTTTTGCTCGCCTTTCTTGTTCCAGATAAAAGAGATGAGGCAAACAAAAACCTCGAAAAACATGAAAGCACATATTCCATTAAGTCTCCTGAGGGGTTCAGAGGAAACAATAGTGTCTCCACATTAGGAACAAAACAAAAAGCATGTTAGGTGAAAGTCAAATGGAGACCTGCGCGGCTCTAGCTGCATGGATAACCCACCATGGATTAAAACAAAACAATCAGTAAACAGTGTCAGACGTTGCAAGCTCCCTCCTCTGCTATTTATTACTTGGAGGAGAGAAAGACAGAGAACAAAGAGAGAAGGAGAGGGAGTCAAAATAACGGTATTTCCTGATTTTCCTTTTCTAATTTGCAAGCCGCGATGCGAAGCGTGCTAGCAAGCGCCATCCCTGCGTGGCTGGCTGAAGCCTAATTAACAGGGGGGCCATGGTGATGGAGTTTGGAAAGTTTCTTTGCGGGCAGACTCTTGGAGGGGGCAGGCCGAGCTGCATTTAAAGGACCGTGAATGGTGATGAGGGGAGAGCGGCAGAGAGATGGAGAGAGTGGGGGGGCTAGGATTAGCCGTTCTGCTCGGCAGGCCTTGTGTATCACAGCCCACAGCATTTCTCCTTCCTCCTCCTCTTTGGTTCCCTTCTTTCCTCAGACTCCATTTTTAATGAGATCAACAATTAGTCCTGTACAGAAAAGCTGAAGGAGCAAATAAATCAAGTCTTATCTTCAGTTTGTCTTGCAGTCTTTATCCTGCTGTTTTTCTACTTCTTCATAAGAGTTGATTAGCTTTGATTCTGGTGCTTTTGCTTAAGTCTTATTTATTGAAAGTTGCTTGAAGATTTTTGTGACAATAACTTTAACAAAAGGCTTTTAAATCCCTTAGTTGATAGATTAAAGAAACATATAAACTCAAAGTACAGATCAAATAAAGAAGCTCCGGAAAAGAAGTAAGACATGTTTGCTTTCTACAAATGAAATCAAAAAAGAATTTGAGAATGCACTGATTTTAGGCCAGTTTCTGCTCTCTAAAGCTTTGCAGAGGCGACGTTACACTGTGTGTGGTATAGAGTCTCTGTGTGATGGCTATGTAACATTAGATATATCTATTGTTCATCAAGCTAAAACTATCGAGAGTTGACATTTTATTAGGGAACGGAGCAGTCTGCATCGTGATCAGTTAACTAGACAATATTAAGTTTTTTTTCCCTCTTCAGCCAATATGTGCATGTGTTGAATGTTTAGTTTGATTTGTTAATGAATGTGTCCTTTGTTTATATTTTTTGTTTGTTTAATCCTGTGAATAGAGAAAAAAAAAATATATATATGCTTCAAAAATCTGTACCTCCCTCGAAAAAAGAAACAAAAACATGTTAGTACATATCGGGGTCATTTAGATGGTATCTTTCTATACAAAACAAGCTGTTTTGGTTGATCTCTACTAGAAATATTCAGCAGTGCTGGTTATACACCGATTTTAACAGCAGGACCAGCGATTGAAAAAAATAAACACACAGAAAAATAATAGTATAAAGGTTTCAGACAGGAAGTAAAACTGTAAACATAAAGCACATTTAATTGGTCCAATCAATTGCAGTTTCCGTTCTACAGTATTATCATTTTCAGAAATTAAGTGTTATATATCAGCTACTGGCGCCATAACAGGGGCCAGGATCAGTTCTGCAGGAGAGTTGGTCCCTTTCGGCCCCAGCCTAGAACCGTCGATGATGCACAATACACCTCTGTGTGAAAACCCCATTGTTCAGTTAGACCTCTAATCTTTTGATTTCCCACAAACCGGCCAAATTTTGATAGCTAACATCAAGGCCACAGGCCAAGTGTGTTGGTCTGCTGCTAAAGCTGCTTTTGTTGGATTTTTTGACTGCCCATCATCTTCATCTCTCCTTGGGAATCAGTAAAGAAATACTTTTAGTTTCCAATATTTCCAAACCCAGCCTGTTTCATAACAGGAAATAGTTAAACCCGTGTAAAGGCCTCCCTAGCGTTGGGTTAAAATGGGGAATGAATTGGGTATAAATTGTAGACCTGTGGTTGAAAGCTCAGTTTGAAGCTGAAAAAGAGGTGCAGTCAACAATCTGATCTTTCATCCGGCGGCCTGAGAAAGATGAGATATGACCATCACCAGCTCAAGTCTCCATCTCCTAACATGCACACCAAAGTGGCTTGTTTTTAGCTCAATAATAATAATAATAATAAAATGTTCACTCTTAATCTAATAAATCAAAATGAAAAGATACCACCTGAAATTTTTCTGTGCATGTCTAAACTAAAAACACGAATCATCTCATTTTTTGGGGAAAATCTGCTCAATAAGAACACAATGAGGCATAACCAGGCGATCTATGAATCTCCTCTGATTTTGATTTTTAACATAGTGAAGCTCTAATCTATCCTTTCCTCCTACGATCACCAACACTCTTCTGTTTTAATTTTATTTTTGCAGCCCTAACATTTAGTTAAATTCCTTTCCTTCCTTTCTAAACATCATGAACTTCTGTCATTTGCATTCAGAGCACTTGATCCTCTAAAACAAAACAGCAAAGAGCAGTCTTTATATTACAGAGGAATCTGAAACAAATGACTTGTGAGGCCTAATAATGGTCACTGTGATAATAGTCCCAATTTCAGGGAAATGGAAAGCAGTGGGGAATGCACATAGGCAGTGTTTGCTACCGCTGCAAGATGTTATTAGAAGTGGATGGTGTTTGGAACATAATTTGGAGCCACAATATGCAGCGTTGATTAATAATTACTGACCGAAAGAGACGACGGACGAGTCGCAAAATGAACCGCTTCTCGTAATAGGGGGGCGGCGGTTTTTTAGACCCACGGCTGTTGTCAAATGACATTTTGTTTTTTGCTGAGGATTAAGCTGAACCCCTTTAGAGAGAATAATGGAAATGTGAGAGTGAATGTAGAAAGTTTAAGTCAAAACCCATACAACTGTGACATTTAATTTTATAGTAAATAAGTAGACCTGATTGTTAGTTGGAGTTGCTTGCAGAGCGTTTAAATGATTCTTGGACTTTTCTAACACTAAAGTGACTAAATGAATGGATATAATATATGTGTCCTGACCTCCTGCAGATCCAGCCTTGCTTCCTTTGCTTCGCTCCATGTTGGTCGGATCCAGGAGACTCATGTCGGATATCTTGACTCCGGATCGAGCCTCGGCTATAAGCTGCCTGGCTCGTTCTCGTAGTTGTCTCCGTCGCTCTGCATCCCGCTCCTGCACATAAGAGAACAGGAGCTCTAACTTCAACTAAAAACAGTTTTTTAACATAATCAGATCATCTAAGCTACAAAAAAAAAAACCGAAAGGGAAAACATCCAGTAGATTTGTAGCTCTGTTTTGGCAAAGCTGGAATATCAGGAGGGGATGACTCTTATTTTCCTCAAAGATCAACATACATGAGAGGTGGGTAAAAGTGAACAGGTGTAGAAGGAGAACCTCTGCTCTGTCTCACCAAAATCGGACAATGTTTAAAAGATTTCTAGACACAGGGGAGTAAGGTAGGATATATCACCATGTTTGCTTTACAGGAATGAAAAGAGAGGGTTAAAAAATAACAGGGAGACACATCTAACAGTACAGCAATGAGCACAGAGAGACAGGTGGCTAAACCACTGGAATGTCACCCGTATAGACGAGTCTCATATTTGCTGCTTATCAAGGTTTTATTTCTATGTACAATGTTGGCACAAAAATGTCGGATAAATCCACAGATTAGATAAAGTTTTAACAACTTTTTTCCTTACATTTCTTTCCATTGTCCCCACTTTTCTAAAGGTTGCTGTTAGAAATTATTCATCAAAAATATTTTTTTTTTAGAAAAAGAATGCAACCCTGCAGAATAAAAGTATTAATGTTGCTAAAAAAGGTATAAATAATTGTTTTGTCAATTTTGATGGGTCCAAAAAAATATTAATATTTACTTTTGGTTTCGATGCCGATGAAAGGATTCTGCACCAAAAGGAATATTAGGCTGAAGCTATTGCCTGGAGTGTTGCTGAAATAAAATGTTTTTTTTTGCAGATTTCATAGGAATCCTTTTTAAAAACCCTAATGTTTGAAATGAACCTGAAATGCAAAGGAAAATATTAAAATAATTTAAATAATTTCCGTATACGCATTTATATTAGTCCCCAATCTCCTGACACAGGTTTGTGTTTAAGTTCATATCTAACAAAACCTATATAATTTTATTATAGGGTTTTCAAAAGCATCAATACCCTGAGAGGTGTGTATGTATATATATTAGTGCTGTCAATCGATTACATTTTTTAAATTGCGATTAATCGCATCAATGCCTAAGTTAACTCGCGATTAATCGCATTTTAATCACACATTTTTTTTCTGATTGAAAATCATTTAAATACTCTCGATGACATACAAAAAATACATACAGGCTAGGTTTGTGCCAATGTTCTTTTTTTTTAAATGAAAACAGGTCACAGACACTGATTTATGCCATAGAAACATATGGCAAGAAGATGGGGAGGCATGTAGCAAAAAATAACAAATATGTAGACAAAAAAAAGGCCCTGAAAACAGGCTGATGTAAAAGACAGTCTTTACAGTCAATACAGTATTTTGAACAAAGACAAGCATTTTACCCTACTGCTATAAAATGCAGTAGAGTTAACATTAGATGTCAATTAACCAAGGTAATAATGAACAATTTTCAATCAATACATCAAAATCAGTAGACCGACATCACTAGATGGAGGTAGTCTATGCTCTAGAAAGTTAATTTTCAGCCTCTTAACAAAAATGAGAACACACACACACCCACACACAGACACACACACACACACAATACCGACCTGTGGCGTACACAGACAGCAAGAGTGCCGTAGCAGATTCCATTACACCTCAGTAATCTGTTTTCTCAGCATATTTCAGGTTGCTATAGGCACCAGACACTCAACTTGTTTATTGGTGGTGGGGCTTAAAGAAAAGGCACTAGCGTCACCCAGTGTATGAGCGTCTTTTCCTTGAGGAGCTCCGCTCTCGAAGCCTATGGAAAATACATAGATTGGGGGAAAATAGCCCCGCCTTCCCGCAGGCTGCAGCGGGATGTACTTGGAAAATTGTACCATAAAACCACATAGCGTAAATCTCACGGTAAAAAAGTTATCGCCATTAAAATGGCCCCGCGTTAACGCGATAATAACGCGATAATTTTGACAGCACTAATATATATATATATATATATATATATATATATATATATAAATAAACATTGCTTTGTGAAGTATTTGGCCCCTTTGAATTTTTACACCATTTGCCACATTTCAGGCTTCAAACATAAAGATATAAAATTTAAATTTTTTTGTGAAGAATGAGTAAGTAGGACACAATTATGAAGTGGAACGAAATTTGATGAATATTTTAAACTTTATTATCAAATAAAAAAACTGAAGAGTGGGGCGTGCAAAATGAATCAGCTGCTTTACCCTCAGTACAGCAAACTCTGCAGAAGTTCAGTGAGGATCTCTGAATGGTCTAATGTTGCCCTTAATGACTGGTGGTGATCAACAGAATCCACCTGTGTGGAATCAAGTCTCTGTATTAAATGCACCTGCTCTGTGATCGTCTCAGAGGTCTGTTTAAAGCACAGAGAGCAAAGTCGAACAGCCAATCAGGTTCGAAGATACATTCTGGGAGAAGTTTGAAGCCAGATTTGGTTACAAAAAAGATTTCCCAAGCTTCAAACATCCCAAGGAGCACTGGGCAAGTGATAATATTGAAATGGAAGGAGTATCAGACCACTGTGGATCTAAAAATATCCATCCCTCTAAACTTTCAGCTAAAACATAGAGAAGCCAAGATCACACTGGATGAACTGCAGAGATCTACAGATGAGGTGGGAGACTCTGTCCATAGGACAACAATCAGCCATATACTGCACACATCTTAACCTTTATGGAAGAGGGCCATTTATTAAAAATATCCATAAAAAGTCTTGTTTATAGTTTGCCACAATCCACCTGGGACACACAGCAAACACATGGAAGAAGGAGCTCTGGTCAGATGAAACCAAAATTGAACTTTCTGGCAACAAAGCAAAACATTATGTTTGGTGCAAAAGCAAAACGGCTCATCACCCTGAACTCACAATCCCCTCAGTCAAACATGGTGGACACAGGATCAAGGTTAGGGCCTCCTTTTCTTCAGCAGGGACAGTGACGATGGAAGAAGAAAAACCTGTTGGTGTCTGCAAAAGACCTGAGACTGGGACCGAGATTTATCTTCCAACAAGACAATGACCAAAATTATAAAGCTAAATCTACAATGGAAAGGTTCACAAATTAACATATCCAGGTTTTAGAATGGCCCAGTCAGTCCAGACCTGAATGCAATTGTTAATCTGTGGAAGGAACCCAAACGCTCTCCATCCAGCCTCAATGAGCTACAGCTGTCTTTCAAAGAATAATGGCCAAAAATTCAGTCTCTCCATGTGCAAAACTGATAGCGACATACCCCAGGCGACTTGCAACTATAATCGCAGAAAAAGGTGGCGCGACAATGTATTAAACGGAGGGGGCTGAATAAAGTTTAAAAAGTAGAAAATACCCCATACATTTCACTCCACTTCATGATTGTGTACCATTTGTTGTTGATTCTTCACAAAAAAAAAAAAAAATGTATATCTTAATGTCTGAAGCCTGAAATGCTGCAAAAGTTTAAAAGGTTCAAGTGAGGTGAATACTTTGCCACGGCACTTTATGTGTGTGTGTATATATATATATATATATATATATATATATATATATATATATATATATATATATATATATATATATATATATATATAAATTTTTTTAACTCCTAGAAATGAAGCCAAAAAGTTTTATGAAAATGCATGTACACATCTTTAAGCATTATACAGGTAAGAGCACACAGGCATAGCCTCATCTTGGCAGTAGACAGATACAGTATTGAGCCGTCACCATCAGAGTAATGGCAGAAATGCCATTTTCAGGTGGTTTCAATATGATCTCACTGATAGTGCAGGCCATTATAGACACACATGTACACAGAGACGCACATCAACAGAGCCGCCGCCATCAGCCACTTACCTGATGACAGCTCAACCATCACACAGGCATCCACTCACTGCGGTCTATTAGTTAGAGTAACCAGGGAGACAAGCAAATGTCCAGGACTACAAGTTAAGTTTTAAAGTTAAGTTTTAACAAGAGGTGGAAAAGATAAAAGGATTAAAAAAGAATGAGATTTGATGCAAAAGAGGCAAAGGTATGAGGAAACATTCCTATTCAAGGGAACAGGAATGTGTGAAATCATATGGGCAAATCATGGCCCGAAATGGTGATTTAGAATTTGTTCTTGTACAGTTAAAGATGAATGACAGGATTTCTAACTTTCACCACAGAAACAAATTGTACAAACTCCCACTTCCAATCATTAAGGTGCACTAAAGCAACAACTCCAGTGTCAAACAGAGCTCACCGCATACGACCCAGGGGAGAGTGAAGCTGCGCTTCTCTGTCACCGCTTTCCTCCCTGTGGTTTCCTGTTAATCAGGCTTCTCCATATTGAAGCAGGGTTTTAGGGCAGGCCTATTGAAGCCGCCCATTTATCCATTAACAAAACATGCAGCGCCCGCTAATGAGCTACATCTCTCCATTTCCATGTCAATTGTTTGTTTGTAGCTATTGTTTGGCCGGAACAATGGGGCTGTATTGTAAATGACAGCAGCCCTAATGCACTCTGCGAGTGTGTGCTGAGAGAGAGAGCGCATAGGGGGATGGCCACGGGGAGAAGGGAACGCACCTTTGAGAGAGACTGATAAAAAGAAAGACAGTCGGGGGGAAAGCAAGAGACAGAGAGGGAGATAAAGAGCGAGGACAGGAGTGGCGGGAGGAAAGGCTGTTGATACTAAATCTCCAGAAAAGTAGTGATATAAAACAGGACTTTTTTTTTTTATTTAATCCTCCAACATAAAAGCTAAAAGTCATTTGGTTTCTTCCTTACAGAATCAAAATTTGCATTCAATGATGTTGCAAAAAAGCTACAAGCTGGAAAAAGTTCTTGGGAGTCACTTTTTAGGCTTTTCCTAAAATTGTTTAAAGTTATAAACCTAACAAATGGGATAAAAGGTGTCTTTATGCTGCTTGGTTTTGTTCTAGCAGTCCTTTGCTTCTTTCCTACTTTCTTCTTATTCATGTCCTTCGGAAGCAGGAATGTTCCTGTTTGCATAA